GCACATCGATCCGGCCTGAACATGTAAGGCCGAGGCACTCGAGTGCATTATGGTTGAAATGACTGAGATAGGCATCTGTGAAGTGATCCCACACAAAATTCGGAACCATTTTTCTATATCACGAATGATGATCGATGGAACATACCAAAATGCTGTGCATTCGAAACTCACACACACACACCTTCCGCTTACCATGTTGAAAAGGGCTCGAAAGAGGTCACACATGCAGCAGAAGAGAAACGTTCGCTCATGGACTACCAACAAAGGTGTGGGACAATAGATCATCTCTCTAACTGGATGAAAGTGTATCTCCTCTTTTTTCGTTCACGAATTTGTTTTAACTCATTTTAACCAATTTTTCTTGTTACACACATGATTGAACTTTAGTGGGGTAAAAACATCGACTGGTTCAGGCCGATAGTCGAGACAAAAGTCTGCAACTCATCGATGAAATTTCCAGGAGCAGCCTACTGCAGTACGTATCCAGGCGACGACCTCCCATGAGGAAAAGCTTTAACTTTTGATTGCGAGTTTTGTTTGAAATCCTCACTGAGGTGGAAAGTGGTAGTAGTTTGCTACACTGTGAATCGAGACGTTTAGTGGTGTGCTATTGCACCACATTAAACGTCCTCGGATGTCTGGAGCGTGGTAAAACAATTCATGCAAAGGAATACGTGATAGCCAAAACCTACGGATCATTTACAGAGATCCCCAGGAAGTTTTCATTCAGGGTAAGTGGAGGCTGCATTGCTTTGAGAAGACAGTCACAGTCGGGCTTACTAGCCACAGTTCAATAGTACTCGCAGATAGTTCGTCGTTCGTTTGCTATTTATATCAACGTAAGAAATAATTAGGACATCTGACTGGCGGATCAATCGATCGTCACAACCAGGACAGTTGCTGGGCTGTCGTTCGATTGGTTGGGCACGAGCAGTCACATCGCCCAAGCGTGAACACGTTCACCTGTCCAGACGTGAAGATTCAGACCCGTCCAACGTACGTTGGTGGAGCAGTGGTAGCACGCTCGCCTCACATGTCAGATGTCCGGGGTTCAAATCCGGTCAAGGCCATTGAATATGCATTGCTGGTGAGCTCTAATAGAAGCGAAACTCGAGTCCCTTTGGTGTGGACTCACCAGAATAATTAAGCCAGAACCGGAGGACGACCGTTCAAACGGGATTGGTGTGAATATGAACAAAATACATATCCCGCAAAACCCTATGTTATCTGAATTATTTGATTCAAATCGCGTGCTACATTTATTTGCAAGCCAATTTGGTGTCTTCGGGAGATTAAACAAAATCCCAACCGAATTTCTCGTTTGTTGTTTCCTTCAAATGCTGCTCAAAGGCCACCTCGTTTCAGTTGGTACGTTATTCGAGGTGCCTCACTAGGAGTTTCTTGAAGGATCATTACTCACAATGTTGCTGAAAACTTGTCGACAACCCACGATAGGTTTCGTCCATCTACCTAAACGTTACTAGATATTGTGATCAACCGTTCGCTTGCAGCTGCGGTGCCACTATTCAACTCAATTCTGCATCCGACAAAACATGCCTCATTGATCAAAACACTGAGAGGGCATTTTGTCGCAGTGCCCTGTTATTATGGAATGTAGTCGGACGAGGAGAGTAAAGTTTACCCTTTCATTTACCCACATAGTTGATCAACTGCGACTGAGCTTTGCTGTGCTCAACGAACGATATACAGGTCACTTTGAAACTGTCATAGACTTGTCGAACGGATCACGCTATTCGATACTCAGTTCATAGCGCATCATGATTGCTTTGGGATACCTCCATCTCATTTCTCCAGTTTTGTGGCTGCAAAGTCTATTCTTCATTCATGTTTTTTCAAACCACTAATAACATTACTATTATTATTAATAAGTTGTTATGAATGCAATCCTAGAGGGACTCGCGGCACCTGTATTGGTCGACTGAACAAAGCCTTTTCATTGATTAATCGTGAATATTTCTGTCCCTGTAGACCCTTTTAGCCAGCTGGTTATTTGGGACTGTCCATGGTATGTTTTATGAAATATGAAAGCGTAATAGATATTTTCTGATATTTAGTTAAAATAATCAGTCAGTGATATATATATATATAAAGAATAAATGAGGAAATCTAGCAGCAGCAATATGGCTAACATCATGATGATGAGAAGGATCGACTCGGGTGGTTTGTCCTAAAGGGATGTGGAAGAATCCACAAACCTAATCCCATAGCCACTTATAAACTCACTGCCCCACAGACGTGGTCAAGCGAATACACTGCGATATCTCAAATACCGTTCCAAATGAAAAATTAGGCTACCGTTGTTGTTGAGTTGACGGAGAGCATCATAAACGAGTAATTCATCTGGTATTCTGTTGAGTCTCCCGTCAAACCAAATTCATGTACAAATGCGCAATAGTGCACCTTTACCTCTATCCTGCTTATACACTGGAATTTTGTGGGACGCCCTCAGTAAGTGGCCGCCAAAATACAATTACATTTCTGTTGATCTGGAGCGGTGTCTTTCAAAATAGTGAGCTGGCTGCATTCTGCTTCTGCTACCACAGTACCGAAATAAAATCTGTTGCACTGAATTGTATAGAACACAGAAAGTTCAGTCAGAGATTAATTTGGTTCATCTCATTTGAACACCATTAAATGCTTTCGTTCTGTGTAACCACGTAACCTTCTATTTGAGAAACCACTAACTTTACCTTCCTACGCACCATATTACAGCATGTGATCACCACAAAGCTCGAGTACCATAAAATTTGAGTGGCGCATTGATGCTCAAGAATCACCCAAGAAAAATGCGCTGTGTTCAATTGTAGATCACAGTATCCAACAGAAATTTGTTTACAGCGTACTACAGTACCCATAGATGATTCGATACATGTATTATAACAGATACCACCGGAATAAAAGTTACCGTCTGAAATCCTTATGCAAGGACGAACGAAGACACTGAGCGTGTTTAAGCCTTCTGTTTGGCATTCTTCCATACCGTTTCCACCTGACCTTAAAAACATCACTGACGGGTATGGTAATCAGGCCCATAATACCTCTGCTTAAAACATTTTGCGGAACTGCGCTGTAACGCGCTGAAGACCAGTTTCGTCTGTTGGTGAATGAAATTTAAAAGAATTGAGGTTTAGAAATCAACCTTTTCCGAAGGACAAGTCTTTTCTTGTTGGAGGATAATGAGGTGTTGAATGTTTTCACCCCAAATGGCACAACTTACTTAGTTGCATCAATAGGCTTGATACTTTCACAATCAGCGTGTACTTCATCGCCCCATTTGAGGCCTTATGTTCAGGGTATATTGAGTGGTAGAATGCATAGACGTTCATTCGAGTAATGGTAAGTTTTTGCACGACTTTATTTTCCTCATCACTTCGTTCCAAAAGGGAAGGTCACACCTTCAAGTGCCTTTAAATACCTTACTACCATGGTTCTAGGGATAATGTCATCTCACCCAGTTAGCGCTACCGCTCAAGAACACATACCATTTTCTATAGAGAAAAATGTCGGTAGTTCAGGTAGCGTAGATGGTGGTCGTTGGCTTGTTCGCTGAGCTGAGCAATTTGATTGCAAACGTTTCATCACCAATCGAGCTGACATTGTGTCCACCCAGTCACCCACATACCTGACTGTTCAGCTCACAGTCGCTCATTGGATCACGAGACCTGTCTTTGTTATACTCACAAACCACGTCACATTAAGCTGACGCATCAGACATCGATTGCCTGCACGGCCTAGCGAGCGTCGCAACTACTCATGTGCTGACACACCCACGTACACGCAAACGGACCTACATATAGGGAAACCGAACACGGTCAGCACACACAGGCTCACGCGCGCGCAGGGAGCAAGGTGTCACCGAGCACGGTCAGCACACACAGGCTCACGCGCGCTCAGGGAGCAAGGTGTCAGCAAAACACCGAAACTACGGACAATCATGGAATACATGTAGCGGCCAAACTGCGGAGGAAACACGTTCCCGCCGTCCGGACTTTCACCAAGGGACTCTCACATACGATAAGTTCTTTTTTTTACTTGCTCCCACTTTCGCATTGTATTTATTTTTATACGTGTTGCAACCAACCACTGTCAACCATGCTAAAAACTTTTATTAGTGCATACACCTGCTTTGTATTATGGCCACCTGTGCACTAATAACATCAGTGCGCATTGAGGAGCTGCACTAATAACATCAGTGCGCTATTGAGGAGCGTAATAGTGCGTAGCTGTGGGTTGGTGGTTGTGCACAACCCAATAACGCACTGATGATGTCATCTCGATTGATGATGAAACGTTTGCAATCAAATTGCCCAGCTCAGCGAACAAGCCAACGAACACATACCATTCATATCATGTACCACCCCATGAAACGCCCAGTTGGATCGACAGAAAGAACTGAGAAGTCAGTCATCTTCAACCAACATGGTTTTCACAAGAATCCCTATTGTGTACTCCAGCCTTCAAATTTTGGATCTCTCAACTGAATGTGTACCTGAGGCCACCGTATTCTCACGAAAGGAAAAAACACGAACACATAGAATAGTGGCCAGGATTGAAAGACCTCGGCAAATGGGAATGTACCATGAGTTAACAGTTAAAGATTCGAAGATTTTATCACAATGGTTGTTTGTGAGGTTCACCTCATATTTACAAGTTAGTTGATGACCATTTATATCGACTTGGCTTGGGAATTTGCAGTAATGGTACAGTGTATAGGTGGTTTTGCTTTACAGGTATCGTCTTCGAACCAAAGCCTCATAAGTCTGGTAATTATCAGATCCTCCACAAACGTTTTGAAAAGATACGAAAAGATACTCGAGTATTCAAAGCTTCTGATGAACTGCAGTGCATCGGCTAAACCGATAAATCACAAAAACTAATGATGTTGCTTGTAGAACCGGCCTTGGACAGATCAACATGACCAACCCTTGATTTGGCAGAGGAGTATGAAGGAGATCACGAAATGCCTGGGTGCTTCGGTGCTACTCGCCTTCCAGGATGGGAACCGCGTGATCCTCACTGTGTCTCGTTGGAGACACTACAACATATGGCTGCCAACCGATGTCAGTGGCGTTCTTGTTGTCAGTTTCTATCCAGATCGTCTGAATGAATGTCTGGAGGTATAAGCACCTCGGAATGATTGTGCTAGGCTAGCCAGCCACCTTTACCCTTTTCTGTACAGTAAGACTTTCAAATAAATCATGGTTGTACGGCACTGAAGCATTGGTGTTGAACACTGATGTCATGCTGTCGATGATGATGATGACCTTGGGTGAAATGTCATTCACAGTAACCGTACAATTTATCCTAGTTAAAATGCTGGGAAATCTACAACGACCACTCATCCCAGAAAAATTACAAATCTGTGACTTTCAATAGGGAATTCAGGAAGCACATCCATTCTTCAGTAAGATTCAATTTGGATTGGTTGGAAATTTTATCTCTGGGACCGCATCATAAAACTCTACAAGAAAAAATAAATCATCTACAGACGCAGACCCAATTTGAATACTTGTATGACCAGGTCCAAGACCTTTCAATTACCAATGTTGACAAGGCTGGGTGCTTTGAAGTGAAGTTAATTAGCTTCCGGGAACTATTTATGGCTTCCTGTATTCCATGGGATTCCTGTCTATGCTACTATGAATATCAGACTGCCGAATAAGGACAAAAAGCGAGATCAGTTTTGTTGATGAAACCAGACGAGTGATTTGACAGCGTGTCCATGGGCAAAGCGTATTTCGCTTTTAAGATGAATATCTTGCTTCCAGACACATGACAATTTCGACCAGGCGTGGTTGAATAGTTGCAACCCACTGCTCTCTAATGGATGCACGAAAAGAAGAACTGTACTAACAAATGAAACCTATCGAGAGAAAAAAACAGCAGCAGAGAGAGGATGACTTCACTTGGACACATCTTCAACATGCAAGATTCATCTCCTCACAAACTAGCTTCGTGCGTATAAAATAATCGTCAGCTGCAGCACCCTTTCGGTGCCCAGCTGCCATGCCATACGAAGGAGGCATACACTGGAATACACAGCGAGTTCATAGAACGTGTCATCTGTTGACATTGACCCATCATGCGCCAAGGTTCCGTTTAATCCGGACATTCCTCACAGCTGAACAGACCTACTACACTCATTTATATTTCAATTAGGTTTTCATTGGAGAATCACCTGAGTCTCTCGCTTACGATATTTTTCAACTGAATACGCTGCACAAAGGCGGTCTGATTGTGCTATCTGGAATATCATAATAAACGAAGCATCAGACAGCACTTGTGCAGCTTATTCAGTGGAAGAATAGCATAGGCTATTAACTCAGTTGAGTCCCCCGTTGAACCTCCTGTCGCTAATTTCGTTCAATTGGGGTTCAATTAGAACATGAAGTTGAAGGAAACTCGAGGACGGTGCCTACCCGATGAGCCCCAGGAAGGGCGAAACCGACCGTTGACTGTCCGTGAGTGTTCACCAAGACTTAATTTCATTACATGTACAAAGTCTGTCCGCTCCGTCTTTCAATACAATACTTATAAACAACCAACCGACTCTAGCCGACACTTTCCCAAAATATAGATTAGATACTCATTCCAGCATTTTCGTGCCCCCGAAAGCGAATCCAATGACAGTTTGACTCTCCTAAATATCTAGGGTCCGGATCCTCAACGGGACCAGTTGATATTCAGTTCACTGTACTGTCTTCGTTTCATCAGTTTTGCACCAACCGAATGCAAACGACAGCAAACCCAAAAATGAGCTTTTTTTCTGGATAAGGTCTACTCAGCAAGCGAGTAACGTGAAAAGTTAATCACCGTACGTTGTAAAGCTAGACCAGCAAACGGTTGCTCAACATGTTTTAGAGAGGTCAACTCTGCGACCCACACATACCACTCTCGTTCTTATTGCGTGATCCGAATCCAATATTGCTATCGTTTATTGAATCCAAGCCGAAAAACCGACCTCGTGCACGAAGAAATAACGACAGAAATTCGAATCCATCCTAACGTAGAACACCGTACTACGTTTCCTCTCACTACTTGTTTCTACTTACACACCATAGTGTTTCGCCTCCGTAACAGATGAAGTGTTAGGAGAAGGACAGAGAATAATCAACGTTTTGGTTGCACACAGCTGGCTATTCTTCGTCTGCGACAGTCTCTCAGATATTATACTGCAGGTACAAACGATCTCAAAACCAACCTGAACGAGACATGGGCGGATTCGACTGAACCATGCCCAGTAACATAACAGCAATGAAGATTGCACCACCCGTCCTCAGAAAAGTATCGAGGGCAAATCTAGCCTTCACTAAACCACCCGAATCAGACTAAGCCACCTAAACAACACAACGGACAGACGGCCAGTCACCCATCTACCTTGTATGTACAAGGTGCCTGAATCTTTTCAACCAGCTTCAGTTATCTGACTAGACAAGTGGCCTGGCCTGTACTGTGTTATGGGGGCGTTAAGCTGAAGAACCATTCGTCAAGCTGTAAGTCAGCGCAAACTGTTTCAGCTCGTAATTGTTCTTTGTGGCGAGCGAATGCATGGCACTCCAGTCGGTCGATAAACTAGATTAGGTCTGATAAAGCTGCTGACACTGAAATCCAAATAGTCCAGCGGGGTAAGCTGTGATGTGGAGTCGTTAGTCGCCCGTCGGGCAATTTTCATTAGCTGTGTGGGTAGTCTGTTGTGTCACTTTCGCTTGTCCTACTCTAAGGTTGCTGTCCATGACCATGTGCTTACGGCCCGGGTTTACGCAACATCACAGTGTCCACATTCGCCTATAATTGTCGAAGAGGTCAAAAACTTGAGACCGTTGACTCCACATAACGAAACCTCCTACTTTGTGTTTGATTTACCTCTTAAACCTGCCGGTATAAGGGGGAAAATACAATTGTGTGCTTGATTACAGTTATTTAACTGCAGATAGACCGTTAACTTGATGTGATATCCACTGAATGTGGCCTATCTGGACTGTTTTCCTGAAGGCTTCACTCAAGTTTGGGGGCCTGCAGAGCCGAAATCTTCTTCCGTAGCCTGATTTAGATTTCGAAGCTAAATTTGGTCTAAATTCGCTTCGGAAGATACCGCAAACTTGCCTGTGTTACGTGTTTCTTTCAATGGTGATGATGATGGCCTTTTTTAAAACGTTCACATATATCAGGGCAGATCTGATAAGCGCCAATTATGAGCTGAATTTAAAAGATACATTGCGTGTAAGTGCTTTCCGGTGGTTACTTTGGAGTGAAAACCTATGAATTCCAATTCTCAATTGATTGTACCATATACACAGCATGTCATTCCAATTCGTTTCTATTTGTGGGCACACCGAAAGTCACAGTCGATTCTGCTCATGATGTGCGGAAAATACGGTGTAGTCCATATCAACGTTATGTACTGCTGACGATACAGTTAATCATCCTCAGAGTAACGCAGTCAAAATATAATTTTCGGGCTAAAAGTCAATGAATAATCGATTCGTTCTGGTGTAAGATTTCGTTGCAAAGCTGATTGCCGAACAGAGGTGCACAGTTGCATGGACGACTATCAGTGTCGCCGTCTACGCGACAGATGAGTGCAAGTAAGGAACACAAACTTCCTGTCGCTCGAGTGCAATAGTGCACCAGTGCAACCAAATCGGGTGAACACATGAGCTGGAACAAACAATACACCGACGTGACAGTGGCGAGAAAGTTGACGGGATCTGGCCAAGCACGCCAGCAAAACAATCGATAGCTTCCGATGGACGGCATGCCGAGCCAGTAGTCATCATAATAGTTCGAGGGAGGGAACACCCTGTCCGAACTGCGAGTGCTGCTGACAGCCTGATTTAAAAGGTTTCGTCAGTTGGATCGTTAGTTAGTTAGTTAGTTGAACCGTAGGATACATCTACAAACACTCAGATGTTACATGAAAATTTTAGGCTCTCCCATAATACCTCAAAAGCGGTCTACCAACTAGCAGTCAGTGTTTGGTATAACCAATACGCCTGTTTTTTAATTGAAAAACAGGGATTGTCATTTCCTTCTACTGAGTTAGAAAGCAACCCTTCTTAATGCAACCGTTTAAACGAAATAGAGTGTGAGGAATCTGGGAATCATAAGGTTTTCTAACTATATGTTTCTGTAGGATTTCAGTTTATATGTAGGATTTCATAGCACTGTTAGGCCCGTAACATGGCTGAAAACAACAGACTTGACCGACTGATTGAAGCTATTTTCGCCCGATCCTCTAGTGAGAATTTGCACTTACAAGATGTCGGTATTTCTGTTTTTTTTCTGTATTGAGATTTATGATGCTATTAGCGGTTATACCAAAATAACCCCGCCAGTGTATTCATCTTCTCTCATTTCAAACTAACCTCGATTGATAGGGGTGGATAATACCTGGAACCATGACGCAACGTGGTTCTTTTCTAAGCGAGTGGCCACTCACAAAATTAAGACAGATCAGCGATGTGGACAAGTTTGAGTTCACATTCACTGTTCAAAACAAGTTACTACCCCCTATTAAGCTGAGCTTACACGGGACGGGGCATATGGATGAATTCACTGCCCTTATTTAGAACAACCATACTCTGGAGTAACTGGGGCCAACTTACTCATTTTCGGTCAAGTTTAACTCTACACAGAAATTACCATCACAAGAATCTGAAAATAACCTTGACCATGCACAACGCGATTTAAAAAAAGCTTGATCTTGCTCATACACACACAGTGAACTAGTATTTCGTCAGTGAATAATGAAAAGATGCTTCCGTGAAGTGACGGTCGAACAGCCTGTTCGGCTGAAACGGACTATGCAAATCCAGTCTGGACCTGACCTTTGAGGGGATCTGAAACTCAGTAAGACCAACTCAGGCTTCTTCAGGCAGAAAGAAATTGAATTTATAATCTTGGCACGAGGAAGCATAACAATCCATACGAAGGTAATATAGTAGGTTGTTACCCAGCTTCAAACCAGCACGCTCAGTGCACTCCGTCATATGGGTCGCTCGCACAAGCCGTTCATCGAGTAGCCTGTATTCAACTTATTTGCCTGAAATCCTGCAAGACTGGGTGTGGAAAAGAGACCAGAGCGAGAAAATATAACAATGCAGTAGTTTTGGTATGCTTGTGAAGTCATGGGATGGAGAAACCTGAGTAGAATCGACCAGACAGCTCGAATAAAGACCGTTCGGTGAGTGAGTCGTTTGATAAGCCAACATGAAGGAGACCAATGAGCGTGAATGCCAGTGAAAGGGTGAGAAACTGGTCTGGTAGTCGAATGGAATCCCATAATACTATCCGAATTTCTTATTCCATTTTATTCTGGGACAAGACCGAACTGGTTTAAATGATGTCCAGATTCCTTTCATTTTTATGTGGTGTTGCAGCCCCAGCTTCCTTCAGGAAAATTTAGAAAACGAATTAAAACCCTGGAAATTATGACATGCACTTTCCGACAGAGATTAATTGTAACCAACGCTGTCACAAAACGTCCAAGAGAATAAGGTCCTTTTACGAAACCAGAGCCGATTTTGCAATTTTTTACCGACGGTTTCGTGCCTTCCGGAACCTTGTACATGATATCATGATCTCAGTTGTTCATCTAATGTTTTTGATACCATGGTAATAGGGTAATAAGTCTGAAATTTCGCTTCGCTCTCAGCGTAAACAACTGTAAACGGGTTGCCACCGCAGGTTGTGTCGTTGGTTTGAAAGTTTTCTTCGTTCTAAAGCAAGCGCAAATGTTTCGTTCGTCACAGGGGACGTTTTTGAGCGGAACCAATGTGAATTTAATCACATTTGCTTCAGGGCACTCTGCTTTTGTTGGTTCCAAATAAGGCCAGTCACCGACTGGGGTAGGTTTCGACAGTCAGCTGTGTGTGTTCGTCCACCTTCGGTCACCTACCATCGGAAACACAGAGTTCACCGGCTCCCTCACTCACTCCGTCGACGTCACAAACCCCATTTGGATTTGACTTACTCACCGAGTGGCTCGAATTTTAACAGTGTAGAAGACAGAATATGAATGTACTCGTATTTCAGTGAATTCATGATGCTGTTACGTCTTGCAGAGATAAAGAGGCCATGTACTACTGAGGATAACATCTATAGTGAAGTCCAAAAAACTCCGTGCGTTTTCGAACTGCGCACTGGTCATCTGGAGCGAATTACAGTAAAACTCATCAAAGACGCTTTCTGGCGGTACCAATTAAAAACGGTTTCTTCAGGAGAGAGAACGCAATGTGTCATAATGCATCACCCTCTTTTCGTATTGAAAAAATATTTCCAGACCTCTCCCTTAAACTTCCAGCTAATGAGAACTACTCGTAAGCAGTAAACAGAAACCCCCGGACCACAGGTGTTAACCTGCTGGCATCCTACGAAAAAAATGAAACACCGAATACAGTATATTTTATTCAGTTTGAGATTAACCGGCCAATTTGAATCTGGTGGCGTTCTTATTCTGGTTTCATACAGAACGGGAACAATAGATGTCACTTTCAGCCTCCAGAGGACTTCGTCCACTCAATTGGATATGTAAGTAACTTTATAACTCTAACTCACTAAGACAACTCAGCACGGATACAAGCAGTGCGCACGGGATAGTAATAAACCACAGGGACGCTGATCCTATCATCAGTTGGTATCCAGCTTACGATGGTGGTGGTGCCCAAACCAATTTATGGTTCCATAGTCCATTAACTCCAGGTAATACGCTTGCAACCGCTTTCTACACTTCTGGTGTGATTACAGTATGAATACAAGGCTCCCCAGATCCCGAAGTCGGTTTTCATCATTTCTCAAATTTCTACTTCGGGACAAGTATCACAAAGGACCTAACATTTCCCCAAATATAGTAAAGCATTTATCAAGTAGTGGACAGAATGCAAAGATCGAGCTTAGTTACATACAGCTTAGCGTCAGCGGTCCATGTTCCAAGGAAAGCATAACCGGCATTAGACGATGAAGGACCTAAGAGTAATTGCAGTGTGAGCACACTTCAAAAGTGCTCCAAGACCCTGTGGCACTGCAAGTTGAACAGTCGCACTCGTAGTTCTTTTCAGGCCTGGCTGAGTTGTGTCATTCTGAGGGATAGCTCTGTTTACCGATTGGCTGAGTTGTGTCATTCTGAGGGATAGCTTTCAAGCTCTGTTTACCGATCGCTTGTCGGATCTTCGCCATTTACAGTTTACGCTGTCGGCTCATAATACTTCGTCGGATGTCCGAATAAGCAGGGACTCGTAAGAAACTTTTGAGCCTCTCGTCCTTTGTCCTGTCCCGGTCAACGTGTTTAGGCCACATGCATATGTAAGGTGTGTGGCCCTCTGACAGCTGCACAAAGTGCAACGGGGTAGTTCAAACCATGCTGCTCTTTAGGGGCGAGATGGTTCGAGTGGTTAGAGCGCGAATTTACTGACCGGAAGGTCCGTGGTTCGAAACCGATCTCAGCCTCTCTACTTCCCCTGTCTAGGCTTGGGCAACCTGACAGTGTCTCATCCCTCGTACTTCCCACGGGTGGCATGGCAGCTAGTCCAGGAAGGGTATTACAGCTGAACGCTGCCCTTTACCCACGCGGAATATGGCCGGTGGGCCCCAGATAGGATGCTGCGGACCTTTAAGTAACAGTACACATTATTCCATCAGCGAAATGTGATTGCAAAATGAATAACATAAGCCCAAAACTGTGTTTGTAAGTGACAAGTGGCGAATACTCCAAAACAATACTTCAGTATTTAGTATCTAAGGTCTGCAGTCCCTCCGAACTTTTGAACTCATTTTTGGTGAGCAACACTGTTGGCTTGATTAGCTCAAGATCAACATGAATCTCACTGTCAAGTTTAAGTTGTTCCTTGAGTCTTCTGGGTGAGAGGTACCGTGGTTGATGATAAGTTAATGTTCTGGCTGTGATGACCAGAGAATATAGAAATTGTAAAATCTGGGGAAATATGACTACAGAGCCTGCTTTTGCTGCTGGTTGACCTCACGTAGGCTGGGGCTAAGTTGCAACAACCACGTCGGTAGTCTCTCACTAGCAACCACTGTAACGTGTCCCTAGACCAACTGAAATTGCGGACAAAACAAAAAGATATACAGGGAAAGCAGAGGACTGAAAAATTCGTGAGGGGTGCCAGACGCTTGGTGAAAACAACTGAACAGTTAAGATTGGACGTAAAAACTCCGATTAGATAAATGGTGGTTAGCAGGCTTCTACCTACCCTCGTCGATTCACAGTCCCAAGTGCATGCCACATTGCGTATTGTCACATCTACACTACATTCATATACAAAGAAACAGGTCAGTAGGTAATCGTACGCAGAGTGAAACAACCTGGGATACGTGCGGATTACAGTGACTTTGGTCATGTGGCTTGTGCCCAGGTGGATAGCAACCTGGAATCCATCCAAGCAGTTTGGTTATGCTGCTCAGTTCACCAGTATTCCAAACGATGGTGTTCAAGTGACCGGGTTTGAGTGAGGTTGGCACTCGTTAGTTAAAGCAGTTCGACAACATTATGAACGCATTTCGCCCAAGTCCCCTACCTACTTTCAGATTGAATTTAGTCCGTTGGTAGTGTGGGAAGATTTGGAAATCTTGACGGAGATTTCATCCTGTAAGTGATGCCCATCTTTTCTGAAAGGCAGGTGAGCACTGTACATTTGTTTCATCCTTATTGAGAACTTCAGTAGTGTACGTCTCACAAGACTCCTAAGACTCTGGAACCCACAACCTTGGGGCTTTGTGGGATTCGCACGACTGGTGATCCTCCGTAAGGATGAAATGGCTGTACAATGGTTTCCGGTTTCTCAGAGTAGATTGACTTCACTGACAAGACGAGATCTCAATTAAAAATCCACCAACTTCCTCACACTAACAACGATCTGTCTTTGAGAGCTTTAAAAATAAACTGATTTATCTACCGATTTGTAAAGCCACTTCGTGCTAATGGGAGACAATTGAATCTCAGCTAAATCTCTTATTTACGGTATTCTTCAACCTAATGACAGCACAATGGTTGCCTCATGTTTCCGTTTCTGATTTGGCGCGATTTTGCGATCTTCGTGTAGGGGATGTTACACTCGTTAATATACTTGTTTCTTCCCCAGTTTTGTTCTGAAGAATCTCTCTGTCACCTGAATAAAGGTGATTGATAGCTCCTTTACTGATCATGTGAAGCACGCGTTGTTCTTCGAAAACGCTGCTCTGTTCGCCTAGTTGCAGTTAACAAGCGATTTATGTACCAACAAGCTTGCATTTCTTGGTGGTATCATAACACCTTTGTTCTGTTCACTTCCTCGTCTTCGGAAACGGATCGAGGCTAATTTAGTGGATTAAACCATGCAGATTCGTATGCATTGTTCTCATTGAGTTGGGTAGCTTATACTCACATCACTCATTCAAAGTCCTCCTAGTTGCGATTTCGTCCGAAGTCAGTCCATTGATGAAACAGAGAAGCACTGTACGGCTGTTTCATCCTTATTATGAATCACCATCGGTGAGCATCTCACGTAGCTCCAGATGATTTCGAATCCGCGACCTCCAGCCTAATATTTTGAGCACTTAACCATTTGGCAATGAGTGGCTGATCAGCATTGTGTTTAATTGGCACATACCGCCACTCATTTCTCAATAACGGAAACTTCACCACGTGGTCACGTATTGACTAGCTTTCCGAGCGATGACTTTTCAGAGGAAAGTTCCGCTCATCTTGTGAAATTAACTTTCCTCTGAGCTACACACGTTACCATCAGTCCTGGCTCTCTACCGAAGTAATTATCCTGCTGAGCCCACACCGAACAGAGGGAACACCGGATCGGTGTTGCTCTCTTATTAGAGCTCATCAGTAGTACATCTCTTCGGCATCTCTTCTTCAGCAAGACGAGTGTATTACGATCACTTTGCTGGCACATGTTGGCTGCCCTGAATCATTACGTCTGAACAGATGGACGTATTAACGCTTGAGCGAGGTAATTCGTTTGGTCAAAGCCTCGAACGACGACCCCGGAGTGTTTGTCATTCTATCGAACTACGGTTGCTCACTTTTTTTCTTGACCAATTTGTCATAGCCACCAAACACCTTTCTAATCCGCCCACTCTCTGAGTAGCATGAAATAGCATGACGTTCGTTGAGTAAAACGAACTACAAAGTGAACCTGGCTATCCTCCCGTTTTCTTTAGAGGAGAACATAGATAGTTCAGGTAGAGTAGATGGTCGTTGGTTCGTTCGTCCAGCTCAGCAAACAAACCAACGACCTTCTGCTCTCTAGTGCCGACCGACCAATGGACCATTTTACTGCCACAAATTCCGGGCTACTCGAGGAGGCATTCCGTGTCCCCTTCACTGTCAACATTGTACGCAGAAACTGTGCTGACCCTTGGTATAACTTTTGCTCGGTGATTCACTCTTAGACGAACGAACCACACTACTCTCATATGCACATCACCGGAACGTATATGAAGATCTATAATGTAAAAATACTACTTGAAACCTACCTTCAGAAGGTGGGTCGTTGTTTCTTTGGAGGGGATGCTTTCGATATACCTGAGTGTACACATAGCTGTCCAGTGAGATCAATATTGGACAGTACTATGTTCACAAGAGCCCATTAGCCGCACAATGCACTTAGCTGCAAAACCTTCACGAGTGGAATAAAGGTTTTTGCGCCAAAATGTTGCATTTTGTTGAGTATGTGCTCAAACCAAAAATCATCCTAATCTACACTCATATTTTTGTGGCACACTGAATTTAATTGTCCACTGAAGCAATCATACCTCTGGCGGAAAGTCTGGTAGAATACTTTCCTAGCATCGCTGATACCCCGGGATGCCTAGGTGAGGCTCAAAAGATTGCACTCGTACTCCGAATTCAATTGCCTGTCTCTTTTAGTCCAACAGGGACACGTCGTAGCTGTCGAAAGTTCAAAACTACTATGCGAATATTGAGCGTCGTTCCCATCAAATGAGCTGACCAGATCGTGACAATCGGTAGATTTATTGCTGGGCAACGCTTCGCTTTTGACAAAAAAGCTTCGTCAGGCCAAGTGACTAGGTTC